TAATTTGCACCAAATTGTATGTTCTATAAAGATCTATTTTAATGTAGACCTTCACTTGACCGAATTGCTCCAAACATCCTCATATTAATGATAATAGGTAACAATTCTTCATTGTTATTTTGTTGAGGCTACAATAATCAATACACATTTGCAAACATTCATCTTTTTTCTTCAAAAAAAGTATTAGTGCACTTGTTGGAAATTTGAAATGTCAAATAAAGTTTCGTGCAGGATTTTTGTCAATATAATAATTTAATACTAAAAGCTTATTTTGTGATAGATTGTAGATTGGACCAAATGGTGATTCAGCCCCTTCTTGAAGTTTGATGGCACAATCATACAGTTGATGCTTTGGCAATATATCAACATTTTTTTTCAAAGACATTTAAATTTTTTTTTATGTTATTTTATTCTATTAATACATTTCTTTGTAAAATTCTATGAAAATTGACCTTGATAACATTGAAATAATCAGTTATTATGCTTCATACCTTAGCTAATAGCTCCATTGAGTGTTTGAAGATTAAGTAATAATAATAGGTCTTAATATCATTTCTTAGTCTTTATTAGAATTGGCTTATAAGAGCTTGTTTATCCCAATTGATGTCATAAGCCAATTGCCTAAAATCAAATACATAAATTGATGTAGAACATGACCTTTGATGTAATGAACAAATCTTTATTGTTATTCATTGAGCCTTGTCATGTTTTCTAAATGCCTCTGCAAATGCTTCTAAAAAAGCTTCAAAGTTGCTCAAGATTATAAATATCTTTTCAAATAAAGAAGCAAATCAAGATAAGGCTTATCTTATAAGCAAGATTTTAACTAAATCAACTTATAACTCTTCTATTGGATAGTGCTCAAGTTATAAAAAAAATTACCAATTGAATTTGGTCAACAAATCCTTGAAACTTGAAGTATATACTATCAAATTTAAGGCTTCTTATGTTGTTGAATATGTAAATTTTTTATTTGAGGTACAAATATCACCACCTCTTTAGATGTAGAAGCTTAGGCAAGTAATTACATCACAAGTTAAATTACTCCAAGTCTTTTATCACCATGAAATCTTACAAAAAATCCCTCTATTTTAGTAGTTCTATGAAATAAATCATTTAATGTCTTTATAATAATATCTAACTTGGACTCAGCCATAATAACATCTTTATCTTCAACCATCTTAAAAGAAAAATAGGAAGTTTTTAAACAATATTAATTAAGAGGATGATACTTCGTAACTTCTAAAGTACTTAAATGCTTTCAAGGAGGAAAATAATCTATTCTCTATTAAAAAAGATTAAACTTTAGTATTAATAGGAGGACATTTTTTACAAATTATTATAGATATACTATACAAAAGACCAAACAAGAAATTGAACAGAAGAGCTTTAATAAGAAAACAAATAAGAACTTAATTAAATGGGATGAATACAAGATTAAGAAAATAAAATGTAAGCCAGAGCTTCAAAAGATGTGTTGTCAAGATTGAGGATCCCCTCAACGTCAACTCCAATATATACTAGGTATTATGAAGCTTTTTGAGAAGTTTTCATATTGCTTGAAGATGAAGCAACCTTAAGAAGCTTCTTGAAAAGTTTCCATATTACTTTAAGATGAAGTAACTCTAAAAATCTTCTCAAATAACTTCTTTAATTTTCCTAGAACTTTTTAAAATCTATTAGAATATTCTAAAAGCCTTCTAAAACTTTTAAAAATATTTTTAAAAATATTCTAAGAATATTTTAAAATATTTTAGAACATAATAGAATATTCTAAAAATATTTTCAAAAACTTCTTGTTGTATGTTTATAACAACTTCTTCTAAAGCATTGGACAAATAAAGTCTTCATCATACTTAGGCTTTACTCTTTAATTGCAAATGGAGCAAAGGCTCTAAGTTTTGGATATACATATATATATATATATATATATATATATTTCAAGATTAAAATAAAATAATTTTCCACTTTTAAATCAATATTCTTAGATACTTCATTAAAGTAAAAAATAGATTTTTATAAAATAGCAAAGAATCTTTTTTAATTGATATACTTATTTTTATTTTTAAAATTTTAAAATTTTACAAAAGAAAAATGAAAACTATTGAAGATATTTGTAACTAAGAATTTAATTACTTCATGACTCTTGGCAAGATTAGCCAAAGTTTTGATTTTAAAGACAATGAAACAAAAATTTGGCATATTTGTTAAATTAATATATTGGTCTTTGGAGATTTATTATATACTTTAGGTATAATATTTACAATCTAATGATTAGATTAGATTATAAAGTTCAAACAAATTTTCTTATTAGACTATATCTTTTAGTTTAATAATACCAACTTCAATACACTTCTAACAATTAGTTTATTATATTAAGATACTAAAAAATTAAAATATTTGTCATTGAAAAGCAATCAAGTCTTTTACACCAATACAATAACCTTTCAACTTTTCAAAATACACAACCTCTTGTTATTCAAGCACAAAGCTTAGAAAATGTATAGTAATATATATTTAAAAGATTATATTGGTTATAAAAGTAAAAGTTGTGAATGAAAATGATAAAAATATCCAATTATTTTTTTGATATGATTGCATGAAAAAAATTTGACCCTTAATTATATTCATTGGGAGTTAAGAATCAATATTACAACTTATACCACCAAATTTGGTAGATAATTCCTTCAAAAAAGTTTTTTTAGAAATTTTAGAATCTAATTAGATTTAAATTGATAAATAATATAGAAAAAAACTACAATTTTATTTAAAATAAATTTTGATTTAAACCAATGACTTATAAAGAAGAAACTTTATTTTGATTCATTTATCATAGAAATCAAGTTATTTATGTTTAGAAAACATAATTATACAAAGATATCTCATCTTTTTGCCAACTTTGCAATTTATGACTATGAAAAATTATTCTATAGATTTTGGAATTGTTCTCAAGCTAAAAGAATCAAAAATTAGGTCACCTCAATAATGCATAAATTAGCCATTAATTCCAAAAGATATAACTATTGTCAAATATTAATATAGTAATAAGCCATTTTTAACAAAAGTTCCTATTTAAATTTAAAAGACTTAGAACAATTTGGTCTTTTTATAGAACCTATTTATGGATGATATTGAGGTAATATAATAATATTTTTTATCAACATTAAAGCATGATGCAATAAACAAGTAATTTTTTATATATGGTTGAATTTTCAAGACTATGATTAAATATTTTAGAAATTCATCCATGACAACTAAATAAAAAATCGGATAATAGTGAATCAATGTTATATAATTTGAAGATATTATACATAGATAAGAAACTTCTAGACTTTTGACATAAAAAATCCATAGTATAATTTCTATTATAATAAAATAATTATATATATATATATATATATATTAATTCAATAACTATCATTGATATATATATATATATATTTAAAATAATTAGGTAGAAATAAGTAGAAGTAAGTAAATTTAATAATACTTTATAGGAAAGCTTCTTAGAAGCTTAAATAGACACGGATCTGATTTTATACATGTCTATAGGTAATTGGTAGGTTAAAAATGTGACCAATTATTATAAACATCCAATAAGAAGATTTTAGAAATATTCTATGAATATTGTATTAGATTCTAGAAGGTTTTATAAGATTTTAAAAAGATTTCTATAATATTTTAGATAGTTCTTAGAATATTTTAGCGGATCGTAAAAAGTTTTAAGAGGATTAATGAAGTTGGTTGAGAAGCTTCCTAAAATTGCTTCATCTTCAAGCAATATGGGAACTTCTTGAGAAGCTTCTTAAAGTTGCTTCATCTTCAAGCAATACAAAAATTTCTTAAGAAGCTTCCTAATACCAAGTATATATTAGAGTTGAGGTTGAAGAGATCCTCAATGTCAACAATATATCTCTTAGAGCTTTAACTCACTTTTCTTGATGTTGATTTTGTACTCATCTAGTTGAATGAAGTTCTAGTTAGCTTTCTTGTTAAAATTCTTTTGTTCAACTTCTTGTTTGGTCTCTTGTATAATGTATCTGTGACACCAACAATATGTGCAACACATGGTCATGACCATGTGTTGCACATATTGACTACTTGTGGTAGAAGTTCATCATGTGATATTTATGTGAAATATGTCTTGTAAGTTAAATATATATTTGAAATGCTATAAAACATCATCATATAACTTTTAGTTAATAGTACATATATAGGCAATAGTGATGCCTTCTTCACTCTTGTCAACATCTTTCTTATTTTTAATATTGTTTCAAGAGTCTTTAATATTTTTATGTTTGACAATAACCATTATAGTTTTGATATTATACTATCTTTGAGTAAATATCTATTGTATTCGAGTGACACAAAGTATTAAAATTTTGATTGTTTGTGATTCATGTCCTTGACAACAACTAACATATAAATTGAATGGTTGATTTGTAGAGTTTGTACTTCACTCACCATCCAATCATTTGGATTCCTAATTTCTAAATGCCATGTACTTAGTTTCTATTAACCAATGCATTTGATATACTTTGATTATGTTAGATAAATAAATATATAAAATAAAAAAATTGAAAAGAAAACCAATGAGGTAAATTCTTTGGAACAAACAATGAGTTTGAGTTGAATTTTTGTTCTTTAATATGAGTTTTTTTACATATACTTATTTTTGAAGAAGTAATTAGTTGAGTAAACAATCCTACATGCATATGTGGAATTGTTTTTTTTGTTCCATAAAGGTATGCAAAGAAAGAAAAAGAAAGACTCAAATTCACAGTGGAGCTAATGCAGAACGAATCAGGGAGACTTGCCACGTCACTTCGCATTCCGGATACTGGTGTCATGGTTATTATCACATGTGTGATTCATGGCCGTGTATGACACGTCATTCCACCCTCGACTTCGAAATAGGTCCCACCCGTGATAAAACAATCTCACGGCAACCAGTGTCTTAACCTCATGACCGCGGATGCTTATCGCGACGTCTTCGCAGAGGAAGTCCATTCACTGTCATTTGGCTTTGTTTCCCGAGCTTGGGTTAGGGTTTCCAGATCCGTGCTCGGTGTGTCTCCGGCCTCTTGCTGCCCGTCAATGTTGCATCTTCCCCCTCTTTTTCTGGTGTCCTATGGGTGAGTTCATGTTTATTCTTTGAGGTCCCGTTTTATCTTGATTTTGGATAGTGTGTTCAGTGTGTTTGGGTACATAACGAGGTTGGTTGTATCGTTGAGCTCTAAGGTCATGGGCTTTAGAGAGTGAATTTATTGGGGTGACGTAGCGAGGGTTGGGGTTTAAATCATGAGAGGGGGTAGGATGGTAGATTGTGGTGCTGGTAGAGTGGAGGAGGAGTAGGAGGAGAGCTTTGCAGTATTTTTATTTGAGGTTTATGGGGGTGATTATTTTTAACGATTTAGAAATGGTTTGAGGTGTGAGTGTCTTTTGATAAGCCGCGAGAAGTGATACGTTGGGGAAATTTACATCTTTGTTACGAAATTGAGAACGCAACGGCGGTTTGGGGGATACGACTTGCGGTGGATATTGGCGCCATTCCTGAGAAATTTAGTCGTTTTTGTTATCTCATTGGTGTATTCAAGCTTGGGAGCGTCTAGGAGCAGCCTTTCCAGTTCGTGCAACCACTTGGGAATATGAGTACAAGAATTGACAGACCTGGATGTGTCGAGCTGCTTTTCTGCTCAGTCACGGAGGCATCTCCGTTGTAGTGTTAAGGGGAGGGATTTTTGTGGCCAGATTACGGAGGGAGGATGTATTATAGAGCTGGCGGACGGATTTAATTTCAGCGAGTAGTGATTAGGTATCGTGTTTCGCTCTTGGGACTATCACTTTGACGCCTTTGTAGATGCGATGTCTGTCCCTGAGTCTAATGGCAGTACTTGTCTGTTTAATTCATGAGATTCTGTTTTGGCCCAGTTGTGCAGATTAGCCTAACCCCCATGATCCTAGGGTGGCTCAAAACAGGTCGCCACCACTGTGGCATTGAGTTGATCCTATTCAATAATGGCAGGGGTAGGAGACGAGTATGACAGCAGGAGAAATTTTTATCCTGATCCTGGAAATGCATGGGATGGTCAACCTTACGATCCAGTGTCCCAGCAACAACCCAATTGGTATAGTTATTATCCGCCCCAACAGCTTGATGACAGGGGGCAGGCTGGTCAAGAAGGGATAGCAGTTCCTCCTTTACCCGCAATGCCACCTCCGCAGGCACCTCTACCACCGGGTTTGACCACAACACCAACCTGGTCAGTAAGCGATCAGGGGGTAGCAAATGGCGGCAACAACACCACATACACTGGCCACAGCAGTTACAGTCATCTTCCGCAGCAGGGTCAAGAGTATACCGGCTATGGAACAAGTGAAATACAGCAAGCTGTTAACTATGCCCACCCTCAGACGGCGAATGGCTCACAGCCATATGCACAAGGATATGCGGGGTACAATTACATGCCCGATCAGAATGCATACAACCATCAGGGATACAATAATAATTGTTTTCAGAAACATGGAACGGAATCATATACCCAGAATGTAGGTGCTCCTTACGCTCCCCCCAACCAGTATCAGCTCACGGATGCAACTTTGTATGCAAGCACCTCCAACTACTATGATCTCAACGGCTATCAAAGTGCTGGCTCTCGGGGTGAGGGTGGACAAGGTCAGGCCTCCTGGAGTGATCCCAAACAGGGGCAATACAGTTATACAAGTTACGCAGTGCAAAATGTGGATACCAACGCCGCCTATGGTACTGCCAAACTTAATCCGGAAGACAATGTGCAATTTGCACCAGACTATTCGCAGCAGTGGGCTGATTACTACGCGAGTTTGAATGCCGTTCCACAAACTGACACTGAAAGTACAGTCGCTCTTCAAGCAGCTTCGAGCGCTCCTGCAGCCCCGACGCCTGCTCCATCGTATGCTAGTGTTGTTGCTGCTCCAGCTGCTCAGCAACCTCCACCTCCCGGTACAGCAGCACATCATTATTCTTGGCAAGCCGCTGCAGCGTCGTATGCTGTATCTCAATCCTCTCAGGATTCCACAATCGCTGAAGCTTCTGGTGCAGGAACTCCTTGGAATGCTAATGCTAACCTAACATCTCAAACCCATTGGAATCCTAGTTCTAACCAGACTTCTCAGAGCGACCATTTTAACCAAAGTCAATTTCCACCTTTAGATAAGCATCCAAGGACACCTGTAAATCAGCATCATCAACAGTCTCAGGTCACCCACAATCTTCAGCAGCAGCAGCAAAGTAAATCACCTAAGCTGCATATCGTGACCAATCCGCGTATTACAGCTACTATCGGTAGTTTAGGGTCGGGTAAAGAAACACATAAACCAGCTTATATAAGTGTTCCTGCTAAGAAATCCTCTTCTAGTGTTTCTACAGATGCTGTTGCTGATGCCACGCTACAGGCTGAAAGTTTTCCGTCGTCGTTGCGGACTTATGTGGAAAGAGCCCTGTCACGTTGCAAAGATGAGTCGCAGAAAGCAACTTGTCAGGAGATAATGAAGGACATGATTACAAGGGCTTCTAAGGATGGAACTTTGTTTACTAGAGATTGGGATACGGAGCCACTTTTTCAACTACCTGCTCCGTCATCTTCATCTGTTAAGAAGGAAACGGTACAACATAATAACTCAACTAAAAGCGAGTGGAGTCCTGCCAGGCGCTTGAAAACTCGTTGGGAACCTCCTGCTACGGTGAACTCGGATGATAAACCAGGACGAGTTCATGGTTTTCACAACTCTTTCAGGGAAGGTGGTCATGACTTGTCCAAAGAGGACAGCACGCAATCCCATTCCAAATGGGAGAAGCGTGAGGATTTATGGATTAAGAGTACCATTGCAGGCAATGAACACTTAAAGAATATGTCAAAAAGAGGCTTGAAAAGGCTTCGTAAAGGGATTCTGTCACAGGGAGGTGAGAATGGTTCCAGTGACAGTGAAGAGGAGCATGCACACGGAGTTCATCTTGGATCTTTGTCAACGGCTGATACTCCGGAAGAGAAGGAAAGACGGCAGAATCGGTTTAAACGTTTTGATCGAGGTAAGGATTCAGGCAGAGGAGGGAAGGGATCTGGACGAGGAGAGCGGGGACCAGCGGCGGGGAGTGCAAGTGCACGGAGAGCCACAGCTCTACAGTTAGCTCTAAATTCAGGGGATGGGCAAAATGGACGTGCTGTAGAGGATATTGACTGGGATTCTTTGACTATACGAGGGACATGCCAAGAGGTTGAGAAGCGGTATCTCCGACTCACTTCTGCGCCAGACCCCAACACAGTTAGGCCGGAGGATGTTTTGAAGAGAGCGTTAGAGATGGTTAAAAGTACAACCAAGAGTTATTTGTTCAGATGTGAGCAGTTCAAGTCGATACGGCAAGATCTAACTGTACAGCGGATTCGCAACGAATTTACTGTCCAGGTATATGAGACGCATGCTCGCATGGCATTGGAGGCTGGTGATTTACCTGAATACAACCAGTGTCAAACACAACTCAAGTCCCTTTACGGAGACGGCATCAAGGGTTGTAGCAATGAGTTTGCTGCTTACAGTTTGTTGTACATTTTGTTCAACCGCGGCAATAGCAGAGATCTTTTGTCTGCTATGGCGAAATTGACAGAAGAAGGAAGGAAAGACGAGGTAGTAAAGCATGCTCTGGAAGTACGTCATGCAGTGGCAATCGGCAACTACACGACTTTCTTTCGCTTGTATAGAACAGCTCCAGTTCTGAGCCCTTGCTTGATGGACAGTCACGCTGAGAAGATGCGATTTGAAGCTGTGAAATTTATGACACGCTCTTACCGTCCCACCATTCCTGTTGCTTCTGTGGCGCGGGTTCTAGGCTTTATTATCGAACCAAATTCAGAAGGAGAAAATGAAGAGCTCGAGGAATGCGAGGAGTGGTTGAGGGCCCATGGTGCTTATCTTCAATTCGATAGTACCATAAGTGAGCTAGTTATGGAAGCGAAGTTGAGTCAAACAAGCTTATTCATGCCTGAGCCTGAAGACGCGGTTCCCCATGGAGATGCAAATCTTGCGCTTAATGACTTCTTTTCTCGCTCTTAGAATTCATTGGTCCAAATGTTAAGCAATGTTTGACACATTTGCAAACTCATTAGGCAAATTGACCTCTCAAGTTTGTTTGTTTGTTTTTTTTTCAGAAAGCTATTGATCCTGTAACAAGTACATAACAGCTGTGGAGGCACAGTAGGGAGCATGCTTGAACAGCTTGGTTTAACTCCATACTATTGTGCAGAAAACTGCAGAGACCTTTCCCTACTAAAGTTTTTCATTGTGACCCGTCATATAGGGTCGCACGAGGATGAAGTTGTGTGGCCTCCAAACCCCTTTTTCTACATGTCACAGCTTTCTGCAATCTGGACGTTTTTGTAACAGACGAGGTCTGAACATCTAATCATTTTGTACAGGTATATATCATGGGTATGTAAAGTCAAACGACTGTCATACCATCTCAATTGAAGAAACATTACTTGTGATTCAAGGACAAGGCAACTTGAAGAAATATGGTAAGTGTTGGTGGCTTCTTGTGCAACAAGTATAGGAAAAAGTGATTTTAGGGCAAGTCGGACAATATTGTAAAATGTACGAAGAATATTGGATAGTACGATGATGCTTTTGTACGCACTTTTCCCATTAGTAGTTGCAAATTTGCACACAATATAATGTTGGTTGCTTTCATCTTACCATATATCTATATATATACAAAAATGTACATGTCAGTGAGACGATAATATTGGAAATTTAGTAGCGAGATCGGTCATGCTCATCCTTAAATATTTATGCACTGTTTACCGGTATACTCTAATTGTGATCGTTGTGAAGGATGAATAAATCTATAAACCTTGCTTGGAAGTTAGTTCACGGCAACAGCTGAGAATCTGATAGCTGACTGATCCTGAAGAGTGATTTCACTCCAATTTAATTGTTCCTGACCATCAAGAAGGTTTTGTTAAGGTTATGTCAATGGCAATTCGGTGGATGTAGAAATTGTCGTCGAATCTTCTCCTTGTGAGTGAATTATTCACTTGAAGAAGCATAAAAAATGTAGGATAAGGTACTTCGGTGACGATGCTGAAGTGTTGAAGGCCCGTATACCTCGTGATAGCAGCGACAACGTCTTCGGCGTAGTGCTGAATTAGTCGGGATCAGTATGAAGCCTCCTTCTCCTTCCAACTGAGTTGGCGAGCTTTGACGCCGATCGCTCAGCGTAATCGATATAATAATTCAATGAGGACTAACAAATCCTGGTTGAGAGGGACTAGATGTTTTGAGCTCAATCACCACATGTACGTTGCTGGATGAGACTCCCAATTTGTTAGTCAGATTTTCCGGGGAAAATAAATGCTGGTCAGCTGGAAATTGGAGACACCCTCAGATCGGTCTAAAGGGCTGCTTCCTAGGCGTCGTCTTACTCGGAGCATAATGTCCCGAATGACCGGAATTGCTTTCCAGAGATGGGCACCTGAGCAGCCGGCTGGTGCTCCGCAGGGGACTCGTCCTGCTGCTGGAGTTCTCGATCACACTGGATCGTCGGGTGGCTCTGAAATTAGGAGATTTCGCCCTTGTGAGCGCCGGTTTGCGAATCTCAGGTGACGAGGGTGCAGGCCCTTGATAAAATCGTGGGACGGGATTAGCTTTGTAATTCAAGCTCTTCCGCAGCTCCCTCAATTGCGCCTCTTTCTCCTCTTGCACTTTCTGCTCCTGCCGTTTCTTCTCCACTTCCTTGACTTTGAGCCGCTCCTCGACCTTGGCGTTGTAGTCCTTACGTCGCTCTGCTCTCTGGTCCGTCCTGAAATTGAACCCCATGCACTCTGTAACAGTGGGATTGTTCTTGGCGTGGTCTGGCTTCGCAGGTGCATGGTGTTCCTTACGAGTTTTTTTCGGAACCACTCTAACTGGAGTCGTGATTCCAAACGCTGTGTGCAAAGAGCCTTTGGACGCGGCCTGATTGGGAGTTAGAGGCGGTTTCACAGCTTTCAGAGCTGCAGCTCGTGTAGGAGTGAGAAACCGTGGTGGTGGCGTGGTAGGACCCTCTATGGATAAATTTGGCCTTTTGTCCTTCGGCATATCGCTGTATACTGTGTCCTTCCACGATGAGCTGCACACCACTGGTGACACTGACCGATCCGAAGCAGCACGTGCCAGACCTGAAGTGACGGTACGCCGTGGGCTGGACAATTTTTTAGGAGTTGCGATGTTCCCAACTGAGGGAGAAATAGTACGGTGGCTGGCACCGTTGGCCTGCTCTTGCATGTGGGAAGAAATGGGCGATCTTGAGCGGTCTGCCATTATCCGTTTCTCGGAGAAATTCCTGGGTGCAGGCTTACCTGAGAGCGCACGTGCGGCCTCCTCAAGCAACTTATTTCTAGAGAACCTTTCACCAAGCGGACTCACGCTAGTCTCATGTCCCGTTTTGGCCCGCTCAGGAGTCTTCGGCCCCTTTGACTGTGTCTGCGTCGCTCTCGAAATGAGACTTAACCTTCTAATCTGAGGAATTTCAAGCACCTTCGCCGCCTCAGAATGCAAATCAAATCCATCCTGCAACTCCTCATTCTCAGATTGTTTGATAGCTACTTTCAGACTTTCAAACCTCGTCGGCGAGGCGGCTCGCCCTCCTAGAATATTCACTAAGCTCTTGAAAGAGGGATTAGATTGCAACACCTTCCGCCTAGCCCCTTCAAGGATAGCACTGGCCGGCTTCGCCGCTTCAGTGACAACATGCTTGCTAACTTCAGGTTGGGCTGGTTCCTCCGAGAGCGGGGCACTTACGCGAGCTAGCAGCGAGTCGGTGCTACCTTCATGATGAGCCGGAGGCATCTTCTGTGGGGACACGTCGACGGACTTCCCAGACTCAGTACAGACCAATGCCATGCTGGGACTGGGGATTTCCCCGTCACCCCCATCGACTGGAAACTCAAACTCAGGAAAGTCGGAGTCCTCATCGTCGGACGGTACGGGATTCAGGGTGTGATCATTGTTGGTGACGACCTCGACCTCTTGTGCCATGACTTCTGAAGATCTTCTCGGTCCCCGAGAGAGCCCGAGGCGCCGGAAATGTTCACTGGCTGCAACGAAACCTAATCCCAGAAAAATCGAAACCTGCGCCGAGCACAACATTCAGTTTTTTGTATTGTACATCATCGTGCTACAAATGAAAATTTCAAACTAGAAGAAGTTCGATTCAAAGAGAGCATATCTACGGAGATTGTACTAATAGCACCCAGAGAATCACACATCCTCATCCCTAACCTTTGTTTCAATTCTCGTTCTAGTGGATAAGAAGCAGATATCATGAGACGATGGACTGGATATCTGGGATAATTCGGGAGAGAGAGAGGAAAGAAGGAAAAAAAAAAAAAAAAAAAAAAAACGTAAACGTAAACGTAAACAAGCACACAAAAATAATAATAATAATAATAATAAAACACGATCACAACCACATAGATTTCGCAGAAGACAGACAACGATGAGTAGCAGAATGGCTAGATGGACATACTAGGGTTTCCCAGAAACCTGTCACACAAGCTCTCTAAACAGCCATGTCAAAAAGTCAGCACACCATGTAAAAAAAACGCGATAAATCTCACACCTAAGATGGAACGAATCGGTGGATTGAATGGAGGCCAGCGCCAACTCCACCGACTGGGATCAGCGATGCAACTCAACCTAAACCAACTCAACCCAAGCGGTCGATCAGGTCACACGTTGAGTGAATTCGCCACAACGAGAGTGCAGTGTGGAAACTCCAGGCAGGGGAGAGTCCCGGGGGGTGGTACATGAGCAGAGCAGCGCAGTGGTCGAAACCACCGAGCACTTCCTGGACTCATGGCCTGGCCAGTGCATCCGAGGGTGGCATCGGTCTAATTCCGGACCCCTCCGGCGCCATTGCCAAGTCCACCTCATCCACCCCCCCGCCCCCGCCCCCGCCCTCCCCTTTCACATTCCCATTCAATTTCAAATCTGAGCACGGCGCGCGCGGGAGCGCAACGCCCGGGCGGCTTGGGCGGGGGTGCCACCCCCCCCCTTTGGGGCTGAACCCGGGCTGGGCTAGGCTGTGTGCCCCTCTTGCTCCGTATAGTGAACCCCACCTTGTGTATTTCTAACGCACTGATGGGATTGAACCTGATGGGGTTGAAGACTCGGACACTATCAAATGTTTGGATCTTCTACAAAGTTCATTATGCATGGAATGAAAGGCCATGCATTCACACACTTGTAGATAGATACATATATATATATATATATATACCTTGAAGATTTCAGTTATTGGTATAATACAATTTACAAATAGAAGCATACTTCTCTGTGTGCGTGTGTATATATATATATATATATATATATATATAATGCAATTGGTGAATTTGAGTAGTTTAACGGAACATGTTCTTATCACAAAATTATACAACACTAGAAAATCAAATCTTCTAGTGCGAATGAATGGAGTTTTGATAATGTTTTTACCAAAATATTGTCACCCTGAATATTTACTTTTCAGATTTCCAAATCTCTCTTACACACTCTCTACATACGTACATATACATATACATATACATACATACACACACACACACACATACACATATATATATATATACATATATATATATATATATATACATACACACACATACAAATACATCATAGCCATTTTGCAAGCACTACACCTCTGAAACTAGAACTCCAAAAGGGGTGCCACCCAAAGTGGAACACACACATACTAAAACACAGATCACAACCCAGAGAACAGTCTCCAATAGACGAAATGCTTCAAAATTGACCCCCAACCAGTTGTCAATCACAACATTGTGCTGGAAAGATGGGTGTTGAAAAGATAGTATTTTGAAAAATGGGTCCGGTTCAGAAGCTGCAACAGTCCGAAAGCATCACCGGAAGAGTCGGGGGGGGGGGGGGGATAGCAGAATCCCAGAATCTGAGAATCCAGTGCAGGAATTCAAAACCCCGACGGACCTCAGTACCTGACATGCCTTCCTTCTTCCGCTATATGCATCCCCCTGCTCCGGATGCGCATCGAAAGCCAAAGCTACAGCTAAATTGTAAACTAGACCCATGAAACTAGAATAACAACACACACACCTACACACTCTCCTGCTCCAGTGCTTAGTATAGCAACAGTTGATGATTCTGGAGAGACAAACTCGGCACCCATTGGGGGGAGTTTTGTGCTTCTAAACCCAGCTCATATCTGGACTCCCTCCTTTCCTTTTTGCTATTCTGTATTGCTTGCTTTTCTTTCCACTGCACCCACTGAGACACTGCCACATCAAGCTTTTGTCTTGCATACAGAGCATGTCATCAAGGATCTTTGTGATATGAAAAAGCAATGGATCCATTGGCCACATGCTGAACAAAAGAAGATCTTTGTGTTCTTGGAAAAAAGAAGTCTTCTTTGGTTATGTTGATTTTTATGGCTAGAACAATGTTGCTTCTTTACCAAAAGCCAACAACCAACGGATCTTTGTATCAAAACATGGAATACATGTATTCAATATCTCTCTATGTAATATTTGACTCCAACCAACAATTCACTACTTTTCCACTTTGATTGGATTGATTTTGCACATGATTCTATCATGTATAAGAGTATTTTTTTTTTATAAGCATTTTAAAACTATTTTAGCAAAGAAAAATATTTGCATGTTGATTCACCTTACAACTAATCCAATACATTTTTTTATTTTTTATTTTTCATATTGGTCACTAACTACTCTTTGAAAGAGAATATAAAGTTTAATTAATATATAGAAATTATAAGAGTAAGGAATTAACATAGCATTGGTATTGCAAAAGACAAGTGGTGTTTTTTTCAAGAAGTAAGGAGATTATTGAAGGATGCTAAAGACATATCAAAGATAAAAGAATGGTTTATGGCTTGCTTAATATTGCACATGTTAATAGATTTAAGAGATTTTTGGATTGAGATGTTCTAAGAGACACCTAATATGGAGAAGGAAGCTCAAGGAGCACAACTTTCCTCTTGTCATACTTCTTTTAGACATGAACTTAAGCCTAAAATGTTGTCTATAAACTATGCAAAATGCTTGTTCTTATTATGTAACTAATACAGAAGAAGTATATAATATTTAAATATGTATTCTTTAATTAATTTTAATAAATTAATTTTTCTTTGCTCTTTTCTTTTGTTTCTTCTTTTTCCAGGTGTAACATGTAATTATTTCTATAGTACAAAAATTAGATGCAACATTAGATTTTTGTACTATAAAATAGAAAAAAATAATAAAAATCTAATATCTCTAATTTTACTAGCATGTGAAATAAGCTATTAGATACATGAGGTGAAATATTTATGCATACAAGGCTATGTTATGGACATCTACCAAGAAGATTCTAAGAATATTTGTATAATATTCTATTAGATTTTAGAAGGTTTTAAAATATTTTAAAAAGATTCTTATAATATTTTATTTTTTAAAAATATTCTTAGAATATTCTAAAAAGTTCTAAAAAACTATAGGAAGATTAAAGAAGTTTTTTGAGAAGCTTCTTAAGGTTGCTTCATCTTCAAGTAATATGGAAATTTCTCAAGAAGCTTCTTAATACCTAATATATATTAGAATTGAGGTTGAGAAATTTCCTAGTCTCAACAATACATCTCTTAGAGCTCTAATTCACCTCTCTTAGTATTGAACTTGTATTTATTAGATTTAATCAAGTTCTTATTAGCTTTCTTGTTGAAACTCTTTTGTTCAACTTCTTGTTTGGTCTCTTGTATATTATATCTGTGACAAGCTAAACACTCAGATATGATACTATTACTTTGAACTATAATATAAAAAAAAAGAATACACAAACTTACAATAGCATAATAACAACATCTCCTTTTTCAACCCTCATTTCTCAATCCAATCTTCTTTACCTTTCTTAATATGATTATAAGAATCTATCTTTGGTTGCATTAAACTCATTAATTCTATAATTCCATCCATCTACGAAATTGATTTTTCAGCACTAAAAAAAAAAATTAAAAATCTCAAAATAACATTAATAACAATATTTTCAAATCTACTAGCAATGCATCATCATCATGACCACCATTCTAGAAGATTTTTTACTTTTATTTTTTATGATGACAATTTAATGTTGTCGTATTATGTGTATTCTTGCTTGAAAATGCACTAGACACCTAACTATAGAAGGTAAGTAAAAATGCAATAATAATCCTACCAAGTCTAATAGATTCTTAAATAAACTTTAAGTACTCCTTAATAATCCTAATCAAACTTTAATCAATCTAAAATAAATTTAAAAGAAGTTACAAAAGAAACAAAAAGAAGTTATAAAATAATCTCAAAAAAAATAACAAAGAAATATTAAAAAAATATAAAAATAAATCTTTAATGAAATAAAAATAATTTAAAAGAAATAATAGAAATAGAAACTTTTGAAGAAATAAAATATAATTCTAAATAAATACTAAAAATAAAATCTAAATAAAACTCAAATAAATCTTAATCAAAATTTAATTTAATCCTAATTAAAATTCTAATTTTATTTTAATTTAAATTCTAATGAATCTTAACCAAATTTTAGGTCAATGCTAATTATAATCTTAATTAAAATCCAAATTAAAATCCAAATAAATCTTAATCAAATCCTAAATCAAATCCTAATTAAAATCCTAATTAAAACTCTAATAAATCTTAATCGAATCTTAGGTCAAATCCTAATGAAACCTTAATAAAAATTCTAAATCTTAGATCAATCTTAGTAAAATTCTAATCAAATCTTAAACAAATACTAATCAAATTCTAGTCAAATTCTAATTAAATTCTAATCAAATCTTAATAAAATCCTAATCAAATTCAGACAAAATCCTAAATCTTAACCAAATCATAAAAAACCTTAAATTCTAATTAAGTCCTAAAAAAATCCTAATCAAATCTTAGATCCTAAATCAATCCTAATCAATCTTTAATCAAATCCTAAATCTCAAACAAACTCTTAATAAATTTTATAGCAAATTAAAAATTCAATTTTCTAATGATTAAATCATTGATTTTGGTACGAAATTTTCATACCTTGTAACAACTAAGTTACAAACAAGTACAAAAAATTTGAAGAAGATTATATATACTAAATAGATAATGATTCCAAAACTCCACTTAGGAGTTGGCTAGCCTCCATCTCCAATCTTAATGTTGATATTCCTAAGCCACAATCTCTTAATTTCACTGTTCAATTCATTTCAATTTTTTATAATTATTAAAAATTAATCTAACTATCTTTAAAATAATTGTATTTCAATAAAATTAGCAAATTGATAGATATCTTAAAAATCCTCATTAATTCTCTGAATTCTAATTTTTAAGACTATAATCCACAAAACCCTCATATGCTTCAATCTTATCACTTGATTGACTTCAAATTTCTAAAACATACTCATAACAAGTACAAAAACAAACTACTACATTTCGACCCATAAATATGCCATAAAAATCACAAAATCTTAAAATTTGTAAACTTATTTTTATTTCTTAAAATCTAAATCTATTGAGTACATCACTTTCTTTGAAAATCCCTCAAAATTTCAATATTAATCCAAATAAAATGAAATTAATATTCAAAAATCTCTCTTTAGGTGTGCTTTCTAATTCTATTCTTTAATTTATAAAAGAACCTCAAAGTTACTATTGGTACAGTGTTTTGTGCCACATGGTCTAATTTTGATCCATGTTGACAACCAATCCTCTCTAGGTATGAAGTTTTGATAATTTGAGGTAATTTTTACTTTAATTTATTTTTAATTCTCTCTTAAACATGCCTATATTATTTTTTATTTTATTTTATTTA